AAAGAAACCTCATGTACATCAGACCTGTTAGCAGTCGCTCCACATTCCCCACTCCCCCCAGCCCCTGGCAATAATCAATCTGTTTTCTGTCACTAAGTATTTGCCTATTCTGGACATTTCATTTCAGTGGAATCACACAATATATATCCTTTTGTGTCTGTATTCTTTCACTTAGCATGTTTTCAAGGTTCATTAATGTTGTAGCAGGTGTCAGTACTTTATTCCTTTTTATATCTGAAGAATATTCTATTATGTGACTATACCATGTCTTGTTTATCCATTCATCAATTGATGGGCATTTGGATTGTCACCACTTTTAGGCTATTATGAATAATGTTACTGTTTGCATTTGTGTTTATACTTTTGCTGTGGACATAAATTTTCAACTATCTCAGATACGTATGTACAAATATAAATGGCTTTATAAAGGTTTGTAAAATGTTTTATCTTAGTATTTCGTACTTAACTGCATAATATATGTTTTAAAAGAATAAGTTATCACCAGTTATTTGCTTAGGCTACTGGTTGAATTATTTAACTTTTCTCCAGAAATCAAAGTACCATGGGCCTTACAGGAAGGTGTTACCTGTGTCTTGTGGCTCTGCAGCCCCCTTGCTGGCTGCTTGCTGCAAGCGTGGGGGCTGCTGTTTCAGCACCATTCTGATGGGGCCCTGGGAACGCAACTCTGAACAGGTGCTGACTTGTCTTTTCATCAATAAATAGTACTTCTTCCCTGAGCTAGATCTTTTATCTGCCAATTCATTCTCGGACTGCTAAACTTTACTTTGTCTGTATTGTCTGAGTTTAAAGTTGTAAAACAAAAAGTAAATATAATTCATGTAGGTGACATTTGCAAATAGGAGTTTAGAAAAAATGCTTTCAGAGACTTACAGGGAAAAGTTGACTGTCAGTGTTGTGCCCATTAATTCACAGAGACAGGGCTGGAAAATAGAATAAAGAAATACTGTCACTTCTGTTTTATGCATAAGGAAGAAAGAATTATAGGCATTTGTAAACACTCAGACAGTCATAGACAAAAATCAGACATTTCTACTAATCTCCCTTAACAGCCTTATTTCTTTTCATCATATTCTAGCATTTACATACCAGTAGTTTAAAAAACGGGTACAAGTATAAAGCATAATTGTGTTATCCAAGCATAGTCAAATTACGCAATGGATTATGCATTTGGCTCTCCTAAATGTCATGCTGGATATAGTTTATCCCTCTCACAGTGAGTCAGAAGCGGGAATGGGTTCATTCACTATTTCCAGAAAGCAGCTTACCACCAGCAGGTGCTGTAACTAGTGGGAAAGGGTAGGACCGGAATGCACACTTATTTAGGGATCTCTGAAATGTACCCTTTGGTACTTACATAAGGGCTACATGAGGCCACAGGCAGCTGAGAGTGTTGGCAGTACCTGCAGCTACTCTGCAGCTTAGAAGAGGCTTCCAATCCCCTATGCATCTGGGAATGTTTGTCCCTAGCACAAACCTGAAAACAAGTGCTGTGTACTGCTTTGTGGTCCAGACATGAGTCTCAGCTTTGCCACTGTCTATGTGATCTTGGACACATCACCTTAGAATCCAAGTCCCTCATCTGTAAAATCAGGGAGGCCAACTAGTTGACTTTTACAAAACTCTTTTGGCTTTAAAATGCTATGGCTCCACAACTTAGTGGTTTAAGATGCCAAGTATAGTATATTGGAGATGAGTAATATATAAAGGTATTAAGAGCTCAGGCCCTAAAGTTATACAGAACAATCTTTGAGTCCCCTGTGACCTTGGGCAAGTTTACTTAACTTCTGTAAGCCTGCATTGTGTTAGCCTTAAAGGGGAGATGATGATAATAGTTCCTAGCTCATAGGGCTATTGGGGGTAAAAATGGCATTATAAATGCAGAGTCTTTAGCAGTGCCCAATACATCATAAGAGTCAATCTTTATTAATAATAAGTAGTGTTGTTACTTTCTTTAGGGACATTTTATCCTAATAATATATTGCTCCCTTTAGAAATAAATGAATATAAGTCTAGCAAATTTTAGTAATATTGTGAAGTATATATACTAAAATTATGTTTAAAAGATTATAACAAGTTAGCCATAAACTAAACTTTTAAAAATATATGATTTAGATTATTGAATGGCAGGAATATTGGGGAAGAAATGGGATACAGAGGATTATGGAATAAGTGAAAAAAATCTGACTTTCTCCTTAGCCTTCTTGTTGTCTGTAATTTTCCTTTTATGTATTCTTTTCCTATCTTAATTTGGAGATGGAATCATCTATGGAAAGCTTATCCAAGTTAATGGCTATTCGGAAGTGAGGCTCTGCATTATTGAAACAACAAAACAAACAAGATTACAGTCATTTCTGTTCATCATGTAGGAATAAATAATAAATCTATACAGTTCTGCCTCAGCTGCCTCCTTGTAATTTCTGCCATTATTTTGGTAAATGTTGTTTTGGTGTGAACCAAGGACTTGGAGGTTTAATAATTCTGGAAAAAGATACTCATATATTCTTCCACAGGGTGTTAATACAAAACTATCACTATTTAATAGTAGTTTGCTAAATTATCTGAAGGAAATTGTTCAAGATCAAGTATGTAAAGAGTCAGAATCCATCTGTAAAATGTAGGGAATGTTGGCAACTTTAAGTTTGTTGGTTGATATTTTGGAGATTTAACTATTCACTTCTCAAAAGAAGAGCAAGCTGCCTATAGTGGATATGTATGTGATAAACTGACATAATAGTGCAGGTAAGATTTTTAATGATCATCTCTGAATATACATACTGTACATTTCCCACCTACTCCATCACCATCTTATCTTACTTTGCTGTTGTATATGACAAATAAGAGGAAAAGTTTTCACTCCGTATTACAATTTCACCAGCTTCTGATGTGAACAACTCAATCCAGAAATGCTCTCTCTTAAAAACTGTTTTTCACTACCTTGTAATTTTTGGTTAGGGTAAATGTTCTTTAATCTCTAATGTTTCCTTTATACTTCTTTTGTAGGAGGCCAGTTATAAGAATTCCCTGCCCATCCTTTTAATAAGAGGCTTAGAAAAAGACATGCCAAAACCACCTCCAAAAACCAAGGTAAACTATGTTTGCTCTGTAGGCAACCATGTGAAATCTTTAGCATGGTTCTTTGTTTTTTTTGTTGTTATTGTTGTTTGTTTGTTTGTTTGTTTTGAGACAGAGTCTTGCTTTATTGTCCAGGCTGAAGTGCAGTGGCACAATCTCGGCTCACTGCAACCTCCGCCTCCTGAGTTCAGGCAGTTCTCCTGCATCAGCCTTCGGGGTAGCTCAGACTACAGGTGCACACCACCATGCCCAGATAATTTTTGTATTTTTAGTAGAGACGGGGTTTTGCCATATTGGCCTCACTGGTCTCAAACTACTGACCTCAGGTGATCTGCCTGCCTCGGCCTCCCAAAGTGCTGGGATTACAGGTGTGAACCACCGCTCCCAGCCAGCATGGTTCTTTATGCTCTCCTGTTTCCATGTTCTGTTGCTTGCATTTCCTTCAACCCTTTCGGTTTTTCATTTGTTTGTTTTTGCAGGGAAGTAGGCATGAGGTAGTGTTGTGGGAGGATCTGGTGGTGTAAAAGCACTTTTTGTATAGTACCTTTATTCCGTGGTTGCATTCAGCCAAAAATTCTTTGGATACTCCTATTATCGAACAGACAGTGATAATTTTTAGTAGATGTTTTTACTTCTGCTCAATAACAATTGTTTCTATGACACCATGCCTTTTGCAGGAACATAAATGGAGCTGGAGGCTATCATGCCTAGGAAACTAACGCAGGAATAGAAAACCAAATACCACATGTTCTCACTTATAAATAGGAGCTAAATAATAAGAACTATGAACACAAAGAAGTAAACAACAGACATTGGGACCTCCTCGAGGGTGGAGGGTGGGAGGAGGAAGAGGAACAGAAAAGATAAGTATCGGGTATTGGGCTTAATACCTGGGTGATGTACTGATATGTACAACAAACCCTTGTGACACATGTTTACCTAGTAACCTTCACATGTACCCCCAAACGTAAAATAAAAAATTTTGAAAAGAAATATATAAAAAGTAAAATGCCAAAATATTTACTATTAAGAAAGAGAAAGGACCAGCCTGGCCAATATGTTGAAACCCCATCTGTACTAAAAATACAAAAAAAATTAGCCAGGATTGGGTGATGGGCTCCTGTAATCCCAACTAATTGGGAGACTGAAGCAGAAAGAATTGCTTGAACCTCGGAGGCAGAGGTTGCAGCGAGCTGAGACCATGCCTTTACACTTTAACCTGGGGAACAAGAATGAGACTCCATCTCATAAATAAATAAATAAATAAATAAATAAATAAATAAATAAATAAATAAATAAAAATTTTTCTAGCCTCCAACGTAGGAAATAGTCAAGTGCAATAGATCTTCCTAGGGTACCTCTAAGCATGATAGAAATGCATGAGATGCATTTTCCCTTCTGGGCATAAAGTAAAATGTTCAGCTGTAATTTTTTTTAAATAAAAATCACTTTATTGATGTTTCATAATTATGAAGTAGCACATAATCAATGGAAAGTATTTACATAAATTTTAATAAGAAAAAATAAGGACTACTATAGCTATGATAACATAAAGGCATTAATGTGTAAAATTTTGTTTCCCTTAGTAAGAAAAAATCCAAAATGCACATAATTGTTTTGCCAGTGAAAACAAAAATTTCTTTTTTTTCTTCAACTTTGATTTTAGGTTCAGAGGTGCAGGTGCAGGATGTACAGACTTGTTACATAGGTAAATGTGTGCCACAGTGTTTGCTGCACAGATTCCTACCATCACCTAGGTATTAAGTCCAGCATCCATTAGCTATTCTTGCTGATGCTGTCCCTCACCCTAAGCTACCCCACCGACAGGTCCCAGTGTGTGTTATTCCCCTCCCTGTGTCCATGTGGTCTCATGATTCAGCTCCCATTTATAAGTGAGAACATACAATGTTTGACTTTCTGTTCCTGCGTTAGTTTGCTGAGAATAATGGTTTCCAGCTCCATCCATGTCCTAAAAAGGACATGATCTCATTCCTCTTTATGGCTGCATAGTATTCCATAGTGTATGTGTACCACATTTTCTTTATCCAGTCTATCATTGATGGGCATTATGGTTGATTCCATGTCTTTGCTACTGTAAGTAGTACTGCAGTGAACATATGTGTGCATGTATTGTTATAATAGAATGATTTATATCCTTCTGGGCATATACCCAGTAATGGGATTGCTGGGTCAAATGATATTTCTGGTTCTAGATCTTTGAGGAATCAATACTCTCTGCAACAGTGGTTAAGCTACTTTACATTTCCACCAACAGTGTAAAAGCATTTCTTTTTCTCTGCAACCTCATCAGCATCTGTTCTTTCTTGACATTTAATAATAGCCATTCTGACTGGCATGAAATGGTATCTCATTGTGGTTTTGATTTGCATTTGTCTAATGATCAGTGATGTCAAGGTTATTTTCCTGATGGTTGGCCACATAAATGTCTTCTTTTGAGAAGTGTCTGCTCACGTCCTTTGCCCACTTTTTAATAGGACTTTTTTTCTTATAAATTTGTTTAAGTTCCTTGTCGACTTGATGTCAGACCTTTATCAGATGAATAGGTTGCAAACATTTTCTCCCATTCTGTAGATTGTGTGTTCACTCTGATGACAGTTTCTTTTGCTGTGCAAAAGCTCTTTAGTTTAATTGGATCCCATTTGTCAATTTTTGCTTATGTTGCAATTGCTTTTGGCATTTTCATCATGAAATCTTTGCCCATGCTTATGTCCTGAATGGTATTGCCTATATTTTCTTGTAAAGTGTTTAAAACAAATGTAAAACCCAAAACTATAAAAATCCTAGAAGTCTTCAATCTATTTTGAGTTAATTTTTGTATAAGGTGTAAGGGAGGGGTCCTGTTTCAATTTTTGGCATATGGCTAGCCTGTTCTCTCAGCACCATTTACTAGAGAATCATTTTCCCATTGTTTGCTTTTGTCAGTTTTGTCACAGATGAGATAATTTTAGGTGTTCGGTCTTATTTCTAACTTCTCTATTCTATTCCATTGGTTTATGTGTCTGTTTTTGTACCAGTACCATGATGTTTTGGTACCAGTACCATGCTGTTTTGGTTACTGTAGCCTTGTACTATAGTTTGAAGTCAGGTAGCATGATACCTCCAGCTTTGTTCTTTTTGCTTAGGCTTGTCTTGTATGTATGTTTGGTTCCATATGAATTTTACAATAGTTGTTTTCTAATTCTCTGAAGAATGTCAATGATAGTTTAATGGGAATAACATTGAATCTATAAACTACTTTGAGCCGTATGACTATTTTCATGATACTGATTCTTCCTATCCATGAGCATGGAACGTTTTTATATTTGTTTGTGTTCTCTCTGATTTCTTTGAGCAGTGGTTTGTAGTTCTGCTTGAAGAGGTCCTTTACTTCCCTTGTTAGTGGTATTCCTAGGTATTTTATTCTTTTTGTAGCAATTGTGAATGGGAGTTCATTCATTATTTGGCTCTGTTGTTGGTGAACAGGAATGCTATGATTTTTGCACATTTCTTTTGTATCCTGAGACTTTGCTGAAGTTGCTTATCAGCTTAAGAAGGTTTTTGGGTGAAATAATGGAGTTTTCTGGATATAGGATCATGTCATATGCAAATAGGGATAGTTTGACTTTCTCTCTTCTTATTTGAATACCCTTTCTTTCTTTCTCTTGCCAGATTGTCCTGACCAGAACTTCTAATATTATGTTGAATAGGAGCGGCGAGAGAGGGAATTCTTGTTTTGTGTCAGTTTTCAAGGGGAATGCTTCCAGCTTTTGCTCATTCAATATGATATTGGCTGTGGGTTTGTCATATTATTATTATTATTATTATTATT